CTGTAATAATGGACACACTGCATTACAAATCAAAAAGAGGCCTTTTCAATGCCAAGAATTGTTCAGCTTTTGTTTCTCACAGTCCACCTATCCTCACACTCATAACCCTCCCGGCACTGCGGTGATGTAGAATGGTGTGGCAGCTGCCACCCCCAGCCCCCCTTAGCTGATTGAGAACAACTCATGCGTTCACGGTTTCACAGCATCCCAGTCATTGCTTATGGGCCTCTCGCCATCTGGGGCCGTGCAAGAGCCACGCCACGGCAGCCATGATTTAACACACAGGATAAACAGATATTTCATAATTCACACAGTGAAATGGGTGAAGGAGATAGATTTCAGCCAGGTGACGGGTCCTTTGGGACAGCGGAAATGGGACAGTCAGGCATGCATACTTTTATTTTCTTTAATTTAATGTCATTTAAAAAAAAAATTATTGTTTGCATACAGAAAGTGATTAAAATATTAAAAGCAATATTCAAATTCAAAGAAAATTAGTAAAATAGTGTTAGCAAAACTAAACAAATAGCAATTATTTTTACCATTCTTTTTGGTGCCTCAATTCATAGAAATTATGGACTTTAAATCTGATAATTGCAAACTATTTTGCAGGATAATCTGTTATGCTAACATGTTGCACTCATCTTCCAGGATGATAAAGCTAAATTGCATGCTGTTAAATTCAAGACTCTTGTAAATGCAAGAATGATGTTCAGTGCCTTCAATGGCCTTACATATCAGCAGATCTAAACATCATTAATCCTTTAAGGGAAAATCTAAAGCGCAGAGTACAGTATGTATTTTTACTTACGTTGTACACAGTTAGGTTTAATATGCTGAGAAGAGCTGGATTAACCATATGGCCATTTGGGCCACACTAAATCAAAGAGGCTATGATGCAAGGCTGTATACTGGAAATGTTTTCAAAAAGTGGGAGATGGAGCGCAATGGCCAAAGACTGAACTAAAATAGTTCTGAAGACAAAATGTACCCCATCTCCTTAATAAGCCCGTGATATCAATCTATTGTTCTTTTTTGAGGGAACATCAATGCTGCGTCATTGCTTTGATCCAATGGAATGCGTTTACAAAGAGGAATCTCTGATGATCTTTGATGATGAAGAAGAGTTTGTCTCTGCACCTCATAGTTCAGGCCAGGCCAAAGTGAATCAAATGGAGCTCGCAGATGGAGCTTTTAGAAGAGCGTGAGACAGTCCAAGCCCTTTCTCTTGCTCTCTCTACAGACTGAAGGTCCCACTCTGGATTGGAAGCTCTCTCTGTGATTTCTTCAGGTCTAGATGACGACCTGCCATCTGGGGAGTCTAGCTTCGAGGAGCAAGATGAAAAGGGGGGTTACGAGTCTAGTCCGTTCTGAAAACTATAGAGAAAGTTTACAGAACTCAGTTCAGGTTTCGTCCTCTGCGTCTCAGTGGCATGCTCGGTGAAGCCAGAGCAGATTGTGTTGTTTACGCAGGAATTAAAGTGTCTCTTGGACAAAGGGGTCATATAGAATGTTCCTCTCCCAGAGACTCAGGTTTTTACAGCCAGTACTTTCTGGTACCCAAAAAGGACGGGGGGTTGCGTCCAATTCTTGATCTTCGTCTCTTGAGCTGCACCCTATTGACTTACAGGTTCAAAGTGTTAATGTTGAAGCTTATCGTGTCTTAAATCCAATCCGAGGATTGGTTCATCACGATAGACTTAAAGGACGCATTGCCTGTGCTCAGGGTGTTCCTGAGGTTCGCTTTCGGGGGCGATGTTTACCAGTATCGGGTTCTTCCCTTTGGCCTAGCCTTGTCTCCTCACACCTTCACCAAGTGCATAGGTGCAGCTCTGGCTCCCTTGTGACTCCAAGGCATCAGTTTACTAAATTGACATCAGTGACTGGCTAATATTGGCTAAAGCCGGGTGCACACTGTGCGATTTTGGCCATGATTTGGCCGTCTGTTTGGCCATAAAATTTTACCTTCAACGATTTTCTTTGTAGCCACCATTTCAATCCCGGGTCTTGCCCATGGACTAATTAAGGTAATATTGCACCCTTGGCCAGATTATGTCCTGAGGGTGCCTTCAACATCATTTCATCCTGTTGTTCTCCAAGCCTTCTACCCTCCACTGTTTGAAACTCAGGAGCAGGAGATGCTTAATACATTATGTCCAGTTCGGGGCCTTAGGATATGTCCCATGGTGGCGTGGGCATTGTGATCCAATAGCATAAATGCAATGAAAAGGAACATCGAAAAGGAACATCTCAGGGTTACACTTTCGCGGATATTCAGTATTATAGCAAGCAAAGCGGTTCAACTGAAAAAAGCGATACGCTGCCAAACCGGTCTCAAGCGCCCACAGCTAGGCGTTTTCTGCAGAGCGCCTAGAGTTTTCAGCTGACTAAAAACGCTTTGGTGGACACACAGCCTTTTTCATTAATGGAAAAAAGAACTGTGATGTCCGCACACTGAATTGACAGCAAACAACTTTAACTGAAAGTGCTACGTTTTGACAGTCAGGTCTTCATCAGGCACCATCAGGTGCGGACATCATGTTTTTTTTCATTTTTTTTTTTTTTTTTTTTGTCCTGCACCTGAGCCCAATTAAGGTGTGTGGGATGTGCACATCTTTTTTGTATTTTTGATTCTCCACCTTATTCATTGCCCACATATTTTTGATAAATTATGCAGTCAAGTGCAACAGCTACTGAGCCAAAAAGTAATCTTATTAATGTTTCATGTGGATCTTTTCATGCTCAGGGACTTCCGCTGTGATGAAACATCAACATATGTATTTGTCTGGCATATAAAAAAAAGAAAAAAGAAAAAGAAAAATGAAATTGTGCCTGTGAGAAAATAAACTTTTCACCTGGATTCCCAAAACATAAAAAAATAAAACATAAAATTCTTCTTAACTTTTTTTTGTTCTCTCAAAATTAGAAGAAAAAAAAATTATAACCACTTGAGTTATGAAAACCCATAGTTTTAATACCCTTACAATTATAACAATAGGGATTTTCTTAAATTAAAGGGTTTAGTACTGTACTGAGTACTGGGACTTGGTTGCCTTCGGAAGTACAAAGAAATTATTTAAATTATTAAGAGCCTGGCGAAAAGAAAACAACATCTGCTAAGGAGCAGAAAACAAACATTTTAATTAACAGCACAGTCCCCAGGTGAAGTGGTCTACTCGTAAGTCCAAGCGGGTCAAAATATTAAAATCAGCCCTATAAAAGGGTGTTAATTGTTAAGTTTGTATGGACTTTGGACTTTGAAGCAAAAAACAAACAAAAACAAATCAGAAGGCTCTTGATGTTTACAGTAAATGATCAAAATAAAAATAAAAGTCTACTTTTGGACATTTGAGCCACAAATAAAATATATACATTTAATTTCCATTAGATAAACCAAGTGACATATGCACACAAATTATGATAAAGATCTAACTTAACATTTCTGGCCACATCGTTTAACCAACTGTTTTCAAGGTGATTTTTAGTGGATCTATAAAGTCAGTTCCTCTCAGGGGTGTAGGTGTAGTTCATCACATTAACTATGGTCATGCTTCATTAAAGTTTGATATCCATCTAGTGTCCAAATACAATTAGAAAATGTCTTGTGTCTTAGTTTTAAATCAATCTATTGTTTTATAGTTCTAACAAACTCATTTTTTGTTTGATATTTTGCTGCGCATAATGCATACTGTCAGGGCCGGCTCTAACCCTTTGGTTGCCCTAGGCGATATTGAGTTTTGCTCTTACAGTCACTCAAAAACTTAAACAATAAATTGTTCATACAAATGATACAAAGAACTTTCAAGGATATTTATATCATAGTTGCATTGTACAAATATATTTTATCTGACCATAACTACCAGCACTAGGCCTACTATTATTACTAATCTATTAGGCTGCTACAAGGTTAAGGGGGTTTCGGGGGTATTTCCCCCGTAATAAAATTGTGTGCATTTTAATGTTAAATTCATCAATCTGGTGCAATTTGAGAGTTCAAAACTAAAAGCTCCAACCCATATTCAGTGTGGAAATTGAACAAAGAAAAATTCAAACCTCTTTTAATTACAGTGTCTGTCTACATTACACTACTACATAATAATAGATATAATATTAATCACATGACAGTAATAGCCATGGGCTATATTGTAAAACAAATGCACTGAAAAATAAAGGAAACTTTCATAAGTATTGTACAAATTGTACAAATTTCTATACTTGAAACTAAGAAAGTTATATATTTGGAAGTAACCCAGCGCCGCCAATTAAGCAAAACAAAACAAAACGAATGGGCCACCGATGTAGGCCAACGAGTTTTATGGGCCGTTAAAACAAATATGTTTTTGTTTCGCTTGTCATTCTAATTCTGTGGGAAATAGGCCAAGGGCGACACTAGAGGGCGCCCGCGCCCCCAACACTTTGTCGCCCTAGGCAACCGCCTAGTTCGCCTATAGCAATCGCCGGCCCTGCATACTGTAAATTTGGGGTCCATGTCCTTAAAACACAATTACATCAGCTTTATGTGTGTAGAGACCATGTGTGTTCCACCACATGTAAGCTACCATCAAAGACCATTTTTGAACCAGGACAGTCCTGGGATATGGTAGAATGGAGGTAAATTATGTACTTTTTGGACCTACAGATAAGAGTTTGAAACATAATGAGTCTGAATATTGTTCATTCAGGGATTTTATAATAGTTCGTTTTTTAACAATTGTCATTTGTTTGTTCTTCATAGATACATCCTTTACCCCGTTTTTTTCAAGGAAAGTCTTACACTTTTTAATTTGATTTTGATGCCCGAAACCTAGCACAGTGACCTTCATTGTACTCCATGTAGAGTCTTATCAATCAAACTGAAATCAATGGATGCAGTAGTGAATAGATTGATCCAACTGCAAATCACCACTTAAAACACTGGGAAGCGGAATATGGATGGTGTGATACAAACCAGCATAATGAAAGAAAGATCACATAAAAGAGAAGCAGATGCAGAAACTCACCACGTCTATGATCTGAAGCAGCGTGAGTCCCAGCTCCACCACTATGGGTGAAGAATCATTGAGCACAGGCCTTTCCAGTCTGTTATAGTTGTTCATCAATTCCTTATACAACTTTCGCTGATATTCCCCTTGTAACGAGTCTATAGAAAGAAAGAAGAAAGAAAGAAAGAAAGAAAGAAAGAAAGAAAGAAAGAAAGAAAGATTAGAATTCTGTTATATTTTCCAAATCTCTTTGTAGGGTCGTCCCAAGCGTGGGGTGGGGCCCAGTGCACATTAAAAAACCCAACTAGAATTTTCCAATTTGATTTCATGGTGACTTTAAAGTATAATAAAAACTATCCATATGATATTAGGGTTTATGAGAGTTCATGAGTAGCAATGTTGTTTTTGTGAATAAAACATTTTCAGTTGGATCTAAAAAAAAACCTAAATAAAACATTTGATCCAGTTCACAAACCTGGTCTAAATCATTTGTTCACAAAATCACTCTGTAGCGGTTAACTGCTCAACAGAAGGCAATAGTATCAGTGAATAATAAAATAAACTTTGGACTGTTTTTCACAGCAAGCTATCACGTGACTGCAAAAAACATATATTTAGCACACAAGTCCTGTAGACCATTCTTATGATCCTTTCTTCAGGCTTGACTGTAATTGCGTGGTAAAATAAAATCCATTACAATTCTCCCTTTTTGCGACATAATGGTCTGAAACAAGTGTAAGTAATGACAGAATTTTGTGAACAATCTCATCAGGAGTGAATGCACGAGAGATGTTTTGCAGTAAAAATTTTTATTGATCTTTAAATTTGATTTCCACAGGCTCTGATAGGCAACTCAGTAACAGAGACTAATTCCCTCAGGGACATTGCTGTTGTCCTGTAGATAAAAAAACACATGGGAGAAGACTGCAGCATATTAGCAGTGTAAAATATCCACACTGCTTCCACACTCCTTCACAAAGGTGGACTAAAGCCCCCTGATGTGTACAAATGGGATTTGCTCAAATGTAAAAACACGATGAGATGGAGAGATGAAACGGAAAATGTCAAGAAACTAATGAATGACATAATATTAGCAGTCCAGGATAATTCAATGTGAATAATTGAATTTTCTTGGAACATCTGTGATGATGTCTATGTTTAGATTCAGTATGGCTATGCTGTTATATAAGCAGAATTTCCTTCATAAATCAAAGGAACACATTCACATTGTAAGTGAGAGGCATCATTCACACTCTCCTGACTCACAATGCATATGAGGAAATTAAAAGGAGCGTATGTTCTGTGGACCTGTGCATGAGATTGTAGCTGTGACAGGGAGAGAGACTATATGCAGCTCACATAAAATCTGTTTAGCATGAATCAAGTTTTGAATCAATGCACTGAGAGCACTGAAACATGCCAACCAACAAGAATGCTTTGTCTTTAATCTGGCTCGACCTAAAATATCACTGTTGTTATTAAAAATGTATTAATTTTCTTTATTAATTCAATAGAAACAAATGTATCTTATTTTGTCCAAAAAACAACAACTAAATGGGCAGAGACGTTTAACACAAGAAGTCTAACAGCTGATACTTGCAAAAATTTCTAACAGCTGATACTTGCAGGGGGCAGTTGTGGCCTAATGGTTAGAGAGACCTTGTAACCCAAAGGTCGTGGGTTTGATTCTCAATACCGTCTGGAAACGACTAAGGTGCCTTTGAGCAAGGCAACCAGAAAGCTCCCCAGGCGCCGCAGTGAATGGCTGCCCGCTTCTCCGCTTGTGTGTTCACTACTCAAATTCTGAGTATTGGTTACCATACTTGGTCTTCATGTCACTTCAAATTATTTTGCAGAAGTCATAGCCATACCTCTGCTACACACTATTGTAATTCTTTCCATTAAAGCTTCTAATATGTATTTTTTTTTCACCGCTAGGCGTCGCTAACCTCTTACAATAACAAAGGCGTAGATTGATGACACAGTGATAAGTGGAATCATGGAACTTGTCGTCATGCCGAAGGATCTAATGTTTATGGATGACAGAATACATTGATGTTTTTATCATGACTGTGGTATGAAGCAGGGCCGCGATTGCTAATGAGAGACAGATATCAGCGCCACACGCGAGTCCCGCGGATATAAAGGAATTAGGACATTTCATTCTACCGAAACTTCCCGCAAGTGCTGAATTACTACTCACACAGCTCAGTTTGTTTGACAAATTAAACTTGTGAGGTAACACAGCGCTTTTTCACTTGGTCCACACTATCACACTAAACTGCATTTGAGTGTGTTGAAAGTTATAATGTTATTCTATGTGTTAGTTTGTCTGTATGAGACTAGCAGTAAGCTAGATCAACATTATAATAACATACTAATCATATTCTAACTTTTCATCATATTGAGCTATATAACATTGATTAGTTTTATGTACATTTGCTCACCTGTCTAATAAAGTACATACAAGAGTGGCATCTCTGTCAAGTTGAAGTTTGTCACGGACGTGGAGCTCTCGACGCCACGCTGATATTGATCCTCATTTAGTTTCCTTTTGTCCCAAAGTTTGCTTGCCATAACGAAACAACAACAGCGTGAGCGTGCCGCTAGATGTAACGCAGTTGTCCACGTCTGTCGCCATGGTTACTATGGCAGTACGAGCAGAAACCAGGGATAACGCGGATATTACGTCATTAACAGGCGACAAGTGAACAGCGAGTCAGGGACGAGCCATTATTTAAAATTGGAATTTCTCTGAAATGAAAAATCTTTGGGAACTTTTGGGATATTGTAAGTACACAACTGCAGGAAATATATCACACTGTACAAGTTATTTTTTGATATTTTATTACAAAAATCTTACATATTGTAGAAATGTATGGCATGCATGCATTTCAATGAATGGGCATTTGTTAAAGAATGGGACTTCAATCTCTTGCTTTTTTGTCTGAATCAACCCGTACAGTGATAGCTGCTGGATACATGACATGTCAAGCAACAGGATACAGACTGGGCTTGTAAACGCTCAAGCAAAAAATCATAATTAAAAGTTGCTTTGAAAGTTTCTAAAAGATTGTTTCAGCAATAGTGTCACGCACGCATATACACACACACACACACACACACACACACGCCAAATACAGCATGGAGCACTGACAATAAAGAAAGCAACAGAGGATTTAACACTATGACACTAAAGGATTACAGACCATGACGAGAATGACTGACACTCTTAACAAGGTCCCTACAGAGAGGAAATGATAGATTCTCTTTTGTTCTCTTACATAATCAGAGTAATCTAAGCCATTTTTGCACTTGTTATTTATCCAATTTACTATGATGTCATCCAACTCTTAGACTGACAAATTCACTGGAATCTTTCTCTACCGTTTCAACTGATACTTACTATAGGGTTAGGAATAGGGTTTGGTTTAGGGTTAGTTGCATATAATTATGCACAATTTATAGTTATTACTATAGTAACTACATGTAACACAATTACACTGTAAAATAAAGTGTTACCGAAAATTTATTATAGTTTAAATTTATATGAAATGCAATTAACTGAACTTTAGAGTGCTGTTTCACAGACTTGAGTAGGACTAAAGTACATCTTTAAATGTAATTTCTACATTTCTACTTCTATTGTCTTTGAAATACGGTTAAAGCGCACTGCAGAATGTACTGACAAGCACTTATGTTAAACTAAAATACTTTTCTCTATTGAAACTTGTCTGTCATGTATTTAAACATAGTTACACATTTGTATTAATGAGGTTGCAATTTAGTACATGTAAAATATTTTATATTTTAAAAAATCATTTGAAGCATGAAAAAATATTATTGAAATATAATGATTTAAAATGTCCTTTGAGGTAAAACTTTCAATTTGATATTATTACAAAGTTAACTTTTTAGAAGTGTACTTGAGTGTATTCAGAAATAAATTCATGAAAGTGTACTCGCTAAGAGAATGGCCTTTTATTTCATTTTTTTTTTTATCTGCAAGTGCAGTTTTTTTATATACATTGAAGTACAATCACACCTTTTTTCATAAAGGACATAATAGAATGGAATAGCCAAAATATGACTGAGATATCACATGAAAACCCTGCTAGGATTTGAAATGAACAATCTGCACAGATGGACCACTGGTGATCACCACCATAATGTATGCCGGTTAGAAATGCTGTCCAACTTGATGTTACATGTGCCAAAACACTCTTTTAGAGGCAGACATCCAGTTGCTTTCCAACACCTGCACAAACTAAAAACATGACTAAAAGCAAATAATAACTTACTGGCTTTACATCTCAGAAATCATTGGCTTAGAACAACGTGATGTTTAGTTTGGTCTGAAATATTATCTTGTTAACTCTATGTTTGTTCGTGTAATATACCTGTACATTTTTTTTTTTAATCGGTGTGAATAATATGTGAACATTCTGACAGTAATTTCGAAAATGTATGATTTTTAATTATATTTCTGAGACAATGCTTTTATAAACACTAAAATGGAGGAACAAAGACAGAATCTACTGAAGCTTAATACGCTGGACTTGTTCAACTATATCCACTTAATTGGCCAGAAAGAAAATGAAAGCAATATTTGCCTTAACATGTAGATTGCTGATCCACATGAGAAGTGAGATTTGTCTGATTTGACTGCTCTTCTTTCACTCCTCCCCTGACTGCAGCCGTCTTCTCTCATTTACACTGAATGCGAGGCATTTGGCATCTCAAATGAGTCTAGTGTTAACACACTGTAGACTTGCTTGTGAAATGTACACATCAAAGTTTAGGTATTCCAGATTACTCTATTCTTCCTAATGGAATAAGTGTTTGGGCCTCAGGCACATATCAGCCTAAGGGCAGATGCAGTATCTGGTGAATGTGATTCAAATGCATATTTAAGGCATGGAGAAGACTGTCTACTGATGGAAACCAAGAAAGAGATACTGTGGCTGTTGTGTTCCAGACCAACAATATTCTGGTCACATCTATAGCACATAAGTCTTTAAATCACGTTCGTTAAATTTCATTACTTATTTAAATCCTTTTTCCCACTGGTCAGCACAATCTCATTTCAATGTATGTGCCGTCATTGATTAACCCTCTATTGCCTTGGGGAAACAAACCCATTTTATTAACTTTGTAA